TATAAACCAAAAATAAATATACCATATAATATAATATAACTATATATAAATTTAATTAATATATATATTATAATATGGTAAATATATATATATATATATATATATATGGATATATAGTAAAATTCAATATATGTATATAAAAAATATACAAATATATATATATATAAAACTAAAAAAAAATAATCTAATAGGTAACAACACTAAATCACACTACTACAAGGACCTAATAACAAAATACAATAAAACCACAAAAACACTAAAAGACTATCTAAATCAAAATATCTATATCTCGATCCGACAAAAAAAACAATAAATCACTAAAAAAGGACTCACAAACACTTCATATAAACTAACAAACACATGACACACACACACTCACACACAACACAATATCATCTTAATCAATATAAAACACAATACCCACTAAAAACAAAACTCACTCACACTCTCACACAACCCCCACTCACAAACCTCAATACAAAAAAAACAATCTATCGACACAAACACATCCCCAAACACTAACAATAACTCAAACACTCTCAATACAATCACCCCTATCTAAAACTATAACAACAAACTCACAAAATAAAACAAACAGTACACAACACTCACACAAACTCAAACTCACTCTCACACCAAGGACAAACACACACACACACACACTCACACTTCTCACACACACACTCCAAAAACAGTTAATACACTCTCTCAATCCACACAAAATACCACCCCCAACCCTCACTAAACAAACCATGACAGATACACACAACCTCAACTAACAAAAACTATCACTCACTCACTCAAACTCACAAAAAAACTCTGACATATATATAAAACACTCTGAATCTATAATAAACACAAAATCACATAATATAAAAAATACACTCATCTCAGACACAAAAAAATCTCTAACTCTACACAGTCACACAAAACTCTAAAAACACTATCACCTGTATATATAACAATGTCATCAAACTCAAATCACACTCACACCCACATACACACACACACACAACCAACACACACAAACAAAAAACCCACCAATCACATCCATCCACTCACCTCTACCTCACAAACTACCACCTCACCATAAAACACAATCACACCCACTCAAACACACCCTCACAACTCACACCAACACATCAAACCCAGACAATCACCCACACCCTCTCTCACACAAACTCACAATCACTCCAGCCAATCCACAATCCCCCACCCTCACACACCCACTCACACCATACATATAAAAACACACACACACACACACAAACACACACACGTCACACCACACAAACACACACACACAATACACAACACTCAAACAATCAGACTCACTAACTCACACTCACTCACAAACACACAAACACACTTACACACACACTCACTCCCCCACTCACACCAACTCTCACTAACACACAAACACACAACACATAACACACACAGACACTCACACCTAACACTCACACACTACACACACACACACACACACTCACACATCACAGACACACACAATCCACAATCACACACAAACCAGCACACCACACCACTCCACACCTCACAACAACACTCACATCACCACACACTACCACACAATAATCTCACACTACCACACTCACTCATACACACTCACACACACAACACACCACACCTCACACACAAACACACACACTCTCTCACACACACACACTCCCTCACACACTTACAAACCTCAACACACACACCATACACACACACACACACACACACACACACACACACACACACACTACCACACACACCCACACAATCACACACACACACACTCTCACAAACACCACACACACCTCACACACAGCACACACTAAACACACTCACACTCACACCCAACACACAATCACACACACACACCACACACACACACACTCACACACACACCCCAATCACACAAACACACCCCAAACAATCTCACACCCCACACAAACACACACACACACTCACACACAAATCCCACACACACAAAAAAAACCCAACACATCACACCCAACAAACTCACAAACAACAAATTACACACAAACACAAACACACACACACTCTCAAAAACACACACACAAACACCACCCCTCATCCACTGAATCTACTACAAACACACTCTCACTATAAATAACATCTAACTCTAACTAACCTCTAAAACACACCCCAACACTACAAATACAACTCACCTCACAAACACAATACTAACACACACACCACACACACATGAAAATCCCACAAATCTAAAACAATCACCCATACACTAACCCAACACACTAATCAGCCTACTCAATAACAATAACACAACATACAAACTCACACACACACACCACACACACACTCACACAACGAATAAAATAACACTTAAAGTACTCCTACAGCAATCCAATAAAACCAATAACACAGACACACACACATCACACAAACTTATTCCTTAAAAACAAAAAACCCTCATCAAGACAACTAAAACACTATACTTAAATAGAGGATCTATTTATACCCAAACCAAAACACCCAAACAAACAATCCCACACATGAAAATCAACACCACAAAAATATAAATACATAATACAAAAATACAAAAAACATCACCACTCCGTCGGGCCTGAAAAGTACGTACATGGTCACAGCCCACTGTGTGTACTTGTTTGATTGTTTTTACACATAGATGGCTACATGAATGAGCCAGTTACAAGTACTGCCTGTCTCGTCCATTTACCCTTTTCTTTGATTTACGAAAATGTTTTACATTATCTAATTTTGCTGTTACTAATGTTTATAACATAATAATTTAAATGTTTATAATAAAAATAACAACATCGATATTCATAGCACTAGTAAAAAAATTTTCCCCCCAATTCAAATCACGTAAGGTCATAAGGTCAACTAATTAACTCCTTTTTGGCTAAGCACTAGCAGAGCCATCTATGTGCAGCAACATTTCAAAAAAATATAGAAAATGAGCACAGCACTTTCCCCATTTTCTATTCAATTTCTCCAATGGCACTGGGATATACATATATATGAATATACATGAAAATATATATAAATGTATATACATATGTATATATGTGTGTGTCCACACATACACACACAACATGAATATATCTATCTATCTATCTATCTATATATATATATATATATATATATATATATATATATATATATATATATATATATATATATAATGTATGTAAATATGTATATATATAATATATATGTGTATATATATACATATATACATATATATGTATATATATATATATATTTATATATATACACACACATATATACATACATATATAAATGTGTGTGTGTGTGTGTGTGTGTGTGTGTGTGTGTGTGTGTGTGTGTGTGTGTGTGTGTGTGTGTGTGTGTGTGTGTGTGTGTGTGTGTGCTTTTATGTTTGTTTGTATGTATGTATGTATGTATGTATAAATATATATACAATTATATATATATATATATATATATATATATATATATATATATGTATACATATCTATTATATATGTATATATATGTATAAATGTATATTTATATTTACATATATATGTATCTATATACATACATATAACATAGATATGTATGTACATATACATACATACATATATAATATGTACATATATAAATATATATAAATATATATAGATATATATATATATATATATATATATATATATATATATATATATATATATATAAAGAGAGAGAGAGAGAGAGAGAGAGAGAGAGAGAGAGAGAGAGAGAGAGAGAGAGAGAGAGAGAGAGAGAGAGAGAGAGACACACAAAAGCACACATCTATATATATACAGGAATATGTGTGTGTGTGTGTATGTGTGTGTGCGTGTGTGCGTGTGGGTGTGGGTGTGCGTGTGTGTTTGTGCTTGTGTTTGTCCGTGTGCATGTCACTGAGGAAATTAAATAAAATATGGGGAAAATGCTGTGCTAATTTTTACATTTTTTTGAGAATGTCTCTACACAAAGATGGCTCTGCTAGTGTTTAGCCTTACCTGATTTCAACTTTCCTTGAATTGGCGGGAAAATGCATTTTTAGAAAGAACAAAGACAAAGTTCTTCTAAGGCAATATGTGTGCAAATGCTTCCCAAGGGTGTTATACATAAGAGAAAAGAGAAGATCCCCCCCGGTCAGTATGTAGAAGAGGGTAGTGGGTAACTTTCAAAACAATTTTGATATTTTTCTGCATGATATCCACTGCTTTCAACGATTTTAGGTATTGTTCCTTGTGAAAATGAATCGTTGAGGAGATATGATCATGATCTCCATTGACAATCCTGATTAGATAGTCCCGATAGCAGGGGAGGGCATAAAGTATATCAGGGATATTATGGGGTAAAATAGGACCCCCGTGGTTGTTAAACAAAATGTCCTAACTCAATACCCAACCTAACCTAACACAGTGGTATATATTCCCTAGCCAGGGGGCTCTGCCAACTGGACCCCTGTAGTACTATATATGCCTAGCACCCTTGGGAAGCATTTGCACACATATTGCCATAGAAGAACTTTGTCTTGGTTTATATTATCCTATCATTTCATGTAGGTTTTATTACCCAACTCTGCCACTACCTTATACTACATATTATCCGGAATTTCTCTTAGAAAGTTTGTCACAGCCTGTCAGTTTTTAAATGTCCTACAAGTATCGCTATGGTACTTTCAAAATTATAAATTTGCCAATGGGATAACTACTTCAAGCGCTGGGTGAACAGTTTGCAGAAGTAGCAACTGTTTAGTAAATTTGTGGAAGGGTATTACCTTTTTCGAGATAAAAAATCTGTACTTGTGAGCCATTATTGACAAAGCAGACTTTGCAGGTTGGGAAGGAGTATTCGAACTGTAAATCGCAAATAACTGGCTAATTCCAAAACCTTCTTCTTATTATTATTGGATTTTAGCCTGTTTCCAAACCGTTCAAAACCGGAACGAATAATGTAAACATTCGCACTCCCCACCCCCAACCCACGAC